AATAGTCTGAGTCCGGTCGATAATTTTTCTTATATTACGATAATTTACAATAAACGATATCTTGTGAGTTGGAGATTGGATATGTTAATCTGAACTTGCGTATTTTATGATAGGCTAGTAATGGCCCGATATATACTGGAGACGGATCATCCGTCTGGACGGACTTGAGCATGCGAAAGATAGTTCTTCTTCTAGTTCGTCTGTGTATAAACGCGGGCAAACAGACGGATCATCCGTCAAGACGAATTATCTGCGTAGTTTGTCTATTTAGACGAACTTGATTGCGCAACTGAACGGATCATCCGCCTGTGGTATAAATACGGCATGTGAGCGAACTATGCATGGAAAAACCCGAGGAAAAACCGGCACTACGTTACTCGCATTCGAGTTTCGAGTTATTATTATTGATATATATTATTACTAATTGGAATTGTAATTATTCATGTCTTTAGCAGTAGCGTAGCCAGCCTGACGATTTTGTCCTGCTATGTAAATTTCGAGTTATTATAATTATGCATGTCTTTAGAAATCTATTGTTTTCAAAATCAGTGAACACTAAGATATTAGAATAGCGGGACAAATGAACAGGCTGGCTACGCTACTGGTCTTTAGAAATTTATTGTTTTCACAGTCAATGAACACTAAAATATTAGCGAAACGGGACAAATCGACAGGCTGGCTACGCTACTGACTTTTTTAGCAATGTATCCCAGCCATATACACTTGAGTAATAGAATTTAAACACAATATTTTGTTTCCTGCGCAAATATTAGCGGTCAATGCAATATAATAAGAAAAGCCGTCAATATAATAGGACATGACATTGTGGGAAACAAAATCATTTCGTAGGATAGCGTACGTGCAGGAAACATATTTTTGTAAACATGCATGTCATATTTCAGGAATGTTTTTGGCAAGAAAATGCTACTCTTGGATGTTGTCTAGCGAGTATGTTGATGATTCATGTAACTCACTCCACGAAAAATTAAAGATTACAGTCATCAGAATCTAGTCGTGCATGTAAATCAATTTTTTATGTTACTTCCTTTAAGCCGCACACGGAAGATTAAAGGCCCACACAGACAGGACGCGATTTGGCAACGCGTTGCGATTTTTCAAAGTTTTTAATTTTTTTGCCATGTAGCAAATAAATTTTTAATTATCATAATATTCTTGTAGATTACTTAAAGATACTACATTTTGACTCTTCTTGCGTCCATAGACTCCAAATTTTGCTTCCAGTATTCAATTTATGTGCTTCTGAAACCTGAAAATTTGCGTTGCGTTGCCGCCTGTGTCGATCTTTAAGGCCCACACATGCAGACAGGACGCGAATTGCCAACGCGGCGCGAATTTTCAACGTTTTATATTTTTTCAAAGCAAATAAATTTTAATTTATCAAAATTTTCTTGTAGATTGCATTAAAATAATAAATTTTGATTGGTCTAGCGTGCATAGATTCCAAATTTTGATCCCAGAATTTAATTTATATGCTTCTGAAAACTGAAAATTCGCCTCGCGTTGCCGCTTCGCGTCCGGTCTGTGTCGGCCTTTAAGAATAGACGCATTTCGTTGTTTACCTTGTTTTTTGATTTTCTTTGACATGTAATATATAATAAAAAAATATTTACCAAGACCTCAGAAAACATTATGTTTCAATGTGTACCCTAGACCTGTCTCGGTTCCACAAAACATAATGTTTCCTTCGGTCACGCAAATAAGTGTTAAACTGGTAGTAATCAAAGATTAGGCAAGTGCGTTCGATTTCTTATTACCAAATGATTTTTGTACAATAAATTTTCTATGGACTTTTTCTTGCTAATATACGGCGAAATATATATAACTCTAGTCTTGTGTATAATTATGGCAATTGGCAGTGACAGTGAATATAGGAATAAACGAGACAACTACAAGGCTAGGTGCCAAGTGTCCTTAAGGCGAACACATTAAAAAAATTAAGATTGCAGAAAGACTGCAAAACAAAATGTGAACAACTTGTGCTAGAGTTAAAGTTCATAAATGGCAAAACCCAAGTGGTGGTATCCATAAGAATTTGAGAGTGTACAGTAATAGGATTCCAAAATCGAGTACGCGTCTCACACGAAATCGAGGCGAGACGTGAGACATACTCCATCCAAGATGGCGTCAAAGTCTAAATCGAATGGCATGCAAAACCACGTGGGACACCACGTGGGACACCGCGCGAGTCAGAATTAGAATGCGTTCTCCTTCGTCGAACGCAATAATATATTAATGCATAAGTTCGGCCGGAGTAGTCAAGTGTAATTTAACCGCACCTTAACCCTTGCGTGAAACCTGTCTAAACTTTAAAAAGATACTAGAAGTAGTTCACTTCGAAATGTGCCACATTTATTTTCTTTTAAACGTTTCGACATGGTTAGAAAAAGTTAGGAATAAAATTCGTAGCACATGACTTAAAAACAAACCACTTAAAAGCATCATCCAAAACCAAGGACATGGTAAACAGGGCTGTATAATATCCACTATATTTTGGGAAAGATCTGCACCAGGTTCTTCAAAGTTATTGGGGGAAAGAGAATAATCTGAATCAGAAATTTAACGAATGCATCTTGGTGTTGTGTTATATCTTCTGCGGAGTGAATTACGCATGCGTCATACAACATAGTCGAAACCACGAGTTGTGTTTCCCACCATGTCACGTCTCATTATATTGACGGCTCGCAAAATTGTAGCACACTTAAACAAGAAATAAGTGTGAAGTATTTTGCTAGTATGCTGAAAGACACAAGTATATTTCAATAACACATTGAAATTCTGTAACCGCAATATATGCTCAAAATTAATGAATTATCCGAATTAAAAGATGATTTTTTGGAACATATTATTCCAGCTAGTTCTGAAAACAATACAGAAATTCGTGGCGTTCTTTCCGTTAAACACTGGCTCTATTCTATATTGCCCCAAAATCCTCCTTTCCCCCATTCTAGACAGACTTCCGTGAACTACAGTGGCTGCGACGCCGCTACGTGCAGTTATATTGTGAACTTAAGAAAGCCGGATCACTTGGTCTTCACTTGAAATTGACAGGGATGTGCGCGCGCAATTCTGATGATGAGAAGCGTGCATATGAATTGAGGAGTTTTTTCACTGTGGAATCAAAGTTGTCAAGTCGTTACAACTGTTTTTCAGAAGACTGAAGTCTAGAAAGAAGAAAATTCAAAGAGAGAAATGTAAGTTTTATATTGAAGATTCAATGTGCATGATTAAATTTACAGTCTTTAAATGTAAAAACGTTGGTTTCTCGGCATGCCATGCAGCGTATCAGAAAAAACTCATATCCCTTGCATATGCTCCCATACATTGGGATGTGACAGCACCTTCTCAGCTTCCCTTGCGCACTCTAAGCATATCTATCTTTATATCTGTTTTATTCACTTCAATTTCTGTCTTGTTTTGTAGCCCCGATTTTGCGAAATGTCTTCAACATTTGTCTGCTTTGCTCTTCTTTGTGTCTTGGTAAGATTTTACAACCGTAGAAAGTGCAATGTCAGTGTTTACTTAAAGAAACATGTTAGCATGCCTTTTTTGCATGGCGTTGTTCCGTCAGAAGTAATTTTACTAGCTTCTCTTAGACTATATCTTTGCTTTTGCTCTAGATTGCAAAGAGCGAAAGTTTCCCAGTCCAATCGGACTATCAGAAAAACGTATGTATTATCCTATTTACTGGAAATATGTGTTGGCTCAATACAATAGCTCAACTACCCCAAAGTACAATGCAAGCAAAATTCCGAACCATAAAACTTTTCAGTTTGGCACACAGCCCAACGTTCGGCGTCAAGTATTTCATCTCAAAACTCAGAAAAACTATTTTGGCTTCAAGCTGACATACGGATGTTTGTCAGAAGTTAGCGTTCCAGTTTATCTATACATGCAGTTCAATGATTTCGAATTGATATTTACCGGTGAATAAAAAAATGCCGATGCAGCAAATACGGATGACTTAATTAAGTGTCACACGGAGAAGAAATTATTGATCACGGCAGAAATCTAGCTTTCTCATTGGAGGATTTGAGTGTAAGGTATAATACCATACTTTATTACATGTATGGGGGTATTTTATTGAGAACTAAAACACGCGTAGAACTCATATGCCACTACATCCGGGGTACAGTGTGCGTATTTTCGGTATGCCTCGTTTACCGGGGATATAATGACGAGTTAATGACCCCGGGTATAATGACCCCGCTATTTTCATTCTTGTTGTTGTGAAAATACAAATCTTTTGTTCGTATATAAAACGAAATTAACGTTGGATATACAAACGAAAACACTTAAAAGACATCCTAAGTCATCCTAAGTATTCTACTTTAATGTTTAGGCTATAATTTAAAGAATATTCGCTTTTATAATGGTCTTTCGCGGCTTATTTACTTTTCGTCTTTGTGCGTATTTTTGTCACTCTGATTTAGTCCATATAATAAACAGAACATTACACGGTTTGCTCGAAGATATGGATTTTATGTTCTCGTGTCAGAAACAACATTTTTTTTGCCACTCGAACATAAAATTCATATCTACCCGCGTAATATCCTATATTTAAGGATTAATGCACTCTGTGAGTGCTTAATCGGGTTTTACATGCACGAGGTCACGAACAACATTGCCTTGCCAGACACGCAAATCGCCCGTTGTATTGAATAAAACTGAATAAAACCGTGAATAAAACTATTTGCCATTAGGGTTGCCTATGGTTCAATGGCACAATTCGCAATTTTTTACGAAATCGTATTTGAGGGTATAATTGGGAAACTTGATAAATGAAGAAATACATGTACGCCTGCGTGCCTCTGTTTGCTGCTTTTGGTGGTTTTACATTACTACCACTTGATTCACGCATTAGGATGCATGTCAAGCACGTGTGTATAAGTACTTGAAAAAGCAGTACTTTCACATTGATTGATTTCCTCGAAAAATCACATGATAACGAGGTGATTACGTATAAAATACAGTTTCGCTGCGTGATGCTCAGTAGAATTTACAGTTAAATTTTCTTTCACAAGGTAAAACTTCTTGTATTGTACTATTTTATATCATGTTAATTATGAATACTGCTTTGACTACGTTGGTTCTTGGCCGTTCTTTTACTTGTTCAATATTAAATAGGATCTAGAAGCCGAAATTGAATCCCATTGTCAAAGATTTAGCCAAAAATTTCCTATATCAGAATTTATATGCATGTTTGAAGGGCACTGGACGCTTAGTACAAAAGCGCTTACAAAATGATGATTGCACTATGTTGAAAATTTCTGCTCAGACATTTTCCTAGCTACTGAAGAAAGATGCACTATATTTTTGATAGCTGCGGTAGCGACGTGCACATAAGCATTAACAGATACTTAAGGGCACATTTGCTTACACGGCAGAAAATTTAAGAAAAAAACAGTACGTACATGTTTATACATGTGTTTTTGTGTATATGAATTGTGCATTTCATTTGAAATTGTAGCAGACACACTTGTAATAGCTACATACGGGCAAAGACAAAGTGCGAAGTCTAAGATGTGTCTTGCTTTCTCAAGTTACTTGTCCATAGCAACCATATACTTCTAGAAATTCTGATTATTTTCGTTTTTTGATCGTTTTCTTTTCAAACTGCCCGAATTATATATTTTATTCTTCGGTTATGATTCTGCGTAGGTAATTTTAAGCTAGAATTTACAAAAGAATTAGACGAATAGCGCCTTTTAGTTCTGCGCGACAGGATTTGCTAAATTAAGCCTGGTTCTTCTACTTAATAGTAAGTATGATAAGCTGTCAAGATGGCTGATATAATAGAATATTTCAATTCAGTTATGCGCAGTAAACAATAGCCGATTTGAACACAGAGATAAAGACAAATTTACAACCGGACTATTTCTCATCTGTGAAAATGACTTGTTCACGACATTACGATTAAATGTTTCCCAGGTTTAAGCGCGTGCTTGGAATATGGTTACATTTGATGAACCAGGCAGGAATTTAATCTTAAATAGCTACTAATTAAACACTATATTCTTGAATCTTGAGGGGAACTCGGTTGTTGGTCAGGATGATTTACAGCACGTACCATGGTACTGCGCGGTTTCATCCTAAGCGAAATCAATGCAGTACTGTTCAGAAATAACCTTAAAAATGGCGGTTAATAACCTAGGACAAACCTCGGTCCATGACAGACATTTTTTAAAATGTTTTTGATTTGATTATTGTGTTGTCGTTCTCAGCAGTTCATAACATTTCGTTCTGCAACCGCGATCGTATTAATTTTTTTCCCCTTGCGGTCGTCTTCGGTTTGCTATGTATTCAAATCTAATTTATCACAAAATTAATTTCAAACTTCACACACTTGTATATTCAACACAACACGGCCGCTCGTGTTGTAAACATTGTTGGTTTCGAACCGGAAGGTCGTTCAAGTTGTTATTTTGTAAAGACCTTCTGGCAAAAACAAGTTGTTATTTTCCGTTTCAGCGCAAAGATTTACATCAAATGCGTAAATTTGGTTAGCAAATGCGCAATGCGGTTGCCTTGCCTAGCCACGCTATGTCTGTCACAAACACACCGCGTTTCTATGTTTTGAAATCCGGTTCATGCTACACAAAAACAGCCTACCTAGCTTAGGTTTCTCATTCTATGCTGAGTCTCGAATGTGGACGCTTGCAAGAAAGCAAAAGTTTGTGCTACAATTCTATTCGCATTGCGAGACAAAAAATTCTATCTTTATTCTACCTCGATCAAAGCTATATCTACGCGCATGATAGTTAAAGTTGGTGCGTCTGCAAACCAAAGTAAGTAAATAGATAATACGTTGTTTCAGTTAGCAATTGTCGCGCTAAGCCCTAGGTTAAACGTCGTATTTTGGTCGGGTCGAATGCAATTCAAACAAAAGATAATAAGATGATAATGAAGCTTAAGGAGGCTTATCAGCTCATTATCTATTGTTTGAATTGCGTTCGACGCGACGAAAATGCGACGTATAACCTAGGCCTAAGTGTTTCGATAAGCGCTGCTAAAATCGGTTTAGTTGTTATATTGTATTGCATGCTAATTATTAGTTTAATAAGTATAACTCATTTATGTCAATTATCAAGTATACTCGTATTAATTTTATGTGATAGGTTACTATAGTTTGTCTGCTTATCATATTTTAGTTCGAAACGACGCAATATTCTCAATCGACTTATTCGACCCAAACCTGTATATATCCTGTTAATAAATTATCAAAATTCCTACGTCGAGTTCGTTTCATTCTACGCACCGCGTCTACCCCTGTAGATTTATTGGGAACTCGTTGACATTGAATTTCTATCCCAGTGAAGCTACAAACATTACATATCGATTTTTAATGAATCGCTGTAGTATGATGCTTTTTATATATGCATGCATCAATTCAATTCTCTTAGTAGGAAATTTAGCTAGTGTGCCATCCCCATCTAGCAACACCTAACTATAGATTTATATTTGTATTAAGTTTTATGACTTGTTTTGTAGCACCGGTTTAACGACATGTCTTCAAGACTTGTTTGCTTCGCTCTTTGGTTTTGCTTTGTGGTAAGAAAACAGCAGAATGTTCAGTTTGGACATTGGCAATAGAAATAACTTTTTCTTATTTTAAAGAGATATAAAGTATATGTATATATTGCAAAATCCGTATTCAGTTGTGATTTTCGTTAGCATTTCTTGTGCCTTGTAGATCATGCTAAATAATAATTCATCGGTGATGTGTTTAATTTACTCATACGCTTGCTATACAAAGTCAAATGCATTCCACTTGTACATTAAAAAAAAGTTGCATGCGTTTATAATTTTTCCCTGGTTGTGACGTCATTTAATTAGATCTAATTATAAGACAAGATGGCGGACAACTCGCTAACTTCAGCCTGGATATTTCAAGAACTTAGGAAGATATGAAAAATTGAATTTGAAACTTAATTTACAGTTTTCAGAGTTATTTCAAATCGGACTAACTTATTTTTTATTGCCAATATCCTTTAAAGAGTATGTTAGCATGTTAGCATGCCGTTTGTTGACGTTTAAAACTATATTTGCTACAATCTTTTAGATAACAAAAAGCGAAAACTTCAAAGTTAACGTTCAACTGGATTGTCATAAAACGGTAGGTATATTGTCCAAATATATGTATAACTATATATAGCTCGGGAACATATTACAAATGTTCAAGATGTACAACTCCGTCACTCATGCAATACCTGCATGTTTATTAGTTAAATCACTTGCAAGTAATTGCCTGAAGTTTAACTTCAGTTGTTAGTGAAGGACACATTTGCAGACGCAGAAAAGATCATCGTTTTTCACGTAATATATTCTGTAACTTTTAATGCGCACAGCACGCGTCATGCACAATATATCCTTTTAGTATAAATTTCGAGGTGACTATTGGTTTTCCTGCATTCTGATTGGTCAAAATTCACTGTCTCTGAAGTGATAGTCACTGGTCAGTGAATATAGCTTTTTTATCCTTTTTTCAAAAACTAATACGAAATTTGAATTAGTAATTAAATTTTTTTTGTCAAATTGCGTTGATTCTTATTTGTAAATACCTCGAAATTTATACTTAAAAAAAATTAGCCGCCTCAGGCTTGGTGATTACAAGCCTATATTCACTTCGCCTTCGGCTTAGTAAATATAGGCTTGTAAACACCTCGCCTATTTTTAAATATTTAAATGTACAAACAAAGGGAACAGGCTGCCCAGGTTTGCCAAAGACTTCCAGTCAAACATTTCGATGTTTCTAATATCTCTGTTTAAAATGTGCATCTAACAAATTTCAAGAAACTCTATAGACCACATTAGCTACGTGAAAGCAATCATCGTTTTAGCTACGCCATCGGTGATGATAAAAATTTATTCCTCACCAGAATTTTTAATTGCTTATTACTAGTTTCACAAGCTTTCTAGCATGAATCACGATGTCACCCCAACAGGAGTTGTGATCTCTCTAGCTAATGCCGGAGTTCCCAGTGATGCAGTTGACGTCGTGGTTTTTGCGAAAGTTTATTCGGGTCAAACACCAACGACAGGGTCAGGAAGTTTCATAAACGTCTATCTAAAGGGCGCAAGTGGTATTATTGAAGACGAAAGGCAACTAATGTACTACACATACCCTCAAAATGCCGTATCGGTCAATTCAGAAAATATGGTTTTTCCAATAAACAGCAACTCGAAGACTATTACAGCCCAAGTGGATGGTACTTTTCCGTCAAGAAATTTTGCTGCTACAGTTAAAATTCATGGTTACTATACCTTTTGTTGCCAATAAATTGTAGAAGGTATTGTTTTTTAGAAGCTAATAGTTTGTTATACAACATTTCGCATAAATGACTTAGAATTGGTTTGTTTCAAATTATCTCTTTTAGCCTCGCGATTCAACAGACATTCCAATAGAGAGCTTAATTGATAGTGACAACGGGCTACCGACCACGGCTGAATTGTTTTTGGCGACTGTTTGCACCTACCAAGATGTTATTTACAATTCATCCCGGATGATTTTATTGACTTAGTTTGAAAAATATAAACTGTTCATGACAGTAGAAAAACACAAAATAAACTTGTTCTTTTTGTATGCATATCAGTATAGTATAATAGATACACGTTCTGTCCTTTGTCACGTGACGTTTACAACTTTTATAACTTTGTAATCTGTGATTTTGATCATTAAAATTAGGAACCATAAATGATAAATAAACATTTATAACCATGGCGACAAAAGTTTGTTAAAACCAGCACCACTGCCTCCCCCAGCCGCTGATCTCATTAAGTGCCTGAATGCAACTATTTTACAAGGTATGGACGTATGCAGTATGAGCGACCTTGATTTCGACCAGTCGTATCTTGGGTCGAAGCGCGGAAAATAGTAACAAACAACCTGTTATATTATTAGCTATGTTCCACCAGTTTACTGAAAGAGGTAGTTTAAAGATTTTAAAAAGGAGCTCGTAAAGACGTACACTCTTATTGAGAGTTGCTGCAGAGTTTAAAATTCTTCTTGGCTATGACAGAAAAAAATCGTTCGAAACGTTGTTTGATTTCCAGTCATTAGAAAGAAAACTCACCTGTTTCCCAACATGTTTATCACCAGTTATCCATCCAGTTGCAAAAGATACGCGCGCTGAACGCGATAGTCTATATAGTTCCAGTGTATGTAAAGGAAAGTATTTTAGCTTAAATGGCGGATAAGTTCAAAATGGAACGCAAAATCTTTTATTTATTGAAAAACTAAGCTGAAATATTTCGATGTCAATAATTTAATTTTCAGTGGAAGTATACTTATATAAGGCTGGTTGAAGAGGCTGGTTCAGTCATGCAGTATCATTGCATGTTAATTAGCCAGTCTAACTTTGTATCTAGGCAAGAAGACGGAAATAAATCACGACAGCTAGTATATAAATTCATACTAGAATTAGTAAAATGGCTAAGTTTAGTTGCAAAGTTGCAAGTTTAGTTTAGTTGTGCATGTTTTAGAATTCACAAAATACGGCCTTGCCAATTATTGTATACTTTTGTCGGTTTTTACCCTACTAAAGCCTGAGAACTAGTTTCGTTTACGTTCTACTTCCGGCGGAATTACTTCATCGACAGAACATACAGCATACAACCATACTAACTATGATACAAGTTCATACAACAAAGTGATTGGATGGCTATGACTAATATTATTGGATAACTAATAATATTATTGACGATATTTGATTTCGTGATCGAAGATTAGGTCTGGAAAGAAGACTACCAACATTTTTTATCCAAATTATATTTGCTTTATTTTGGATGCCGTGTCGTCATCGTTGGATATCTATTATTTAAGGTAGGGAGTTAATGAAGAACCCTGCTTAGTCAGTAATTTGTCCAGTACTACAGAACTGAGACGCAACTAATAATCATTTTGGATGCCGTGTCGTCATCTTTGGATATCTATTACTTAAGATAGGAAGTTAATGAAGAACCGTGCTTAGTCAGTAATTTGTCCAGTACGACAGAACTAAGACGCAACTAATAATCATGGGATTATCGAGTATCATATTTGTGCGAGGCATATTGTGTGTAGCAGTATTAATTCACCGTAGAGGCGCAAACTATACCTAGAATAGCCCTAGAATAGTCAATAACAAGGTGGCAAAATCGAGGGTGCGTATTCATACATCCGTCTTGTTTGCCCGACTGATTCCCTTTTAAAGACGATTGTTTCAGTTACGGTTTATGAACATGAATATAAAATTATAAAGAATATACACTCTGATCGACGTGATCGTACAGTTGACCCTTTCTATGGTGACTGGTCTAAACCCCATTGCTGTTGTGTTGCTTAGATTTTTGCAAAGTCTGTTTTAGACATATTTTCGTTTCATAAAAAACTTGCCAATATTTCAAAGCTCGCGTCATGACAGTTGGACACTAAAAGAAGCTTTGTCTTATTTGATTTCATTTTAATTAAGTTTCCGTTGAGGACAACTTTTGAAATGTTGCTTAATTTGTTTTGAACAGAAAATATTCGTAGAACAGACTTCACATCATCCTTAATAATATTATTGAGGGTTCAGGGTAGCAAGTTAGCAAACAGCATTGTGAATTAAGAAGCGCATGACTAGAAAGATCGAGTGATCATCTGAAGATCGAGCAATATCGGCGAGTATTGGCTATCAATGTTATTGCTGCATGGAGGGTCTATTGCATGTAAAGCATTTTTCGTTCGTTTGTTTCTCGATCGTCGATACGCGATATACAACCGAAACATATAGTTGGCCTAGATTAACGTTAGAAAACAAAAATTGGGTCGTGTACACTGATCTGTTATGCCAGTACATTAGATAAAGCAGTGAACTTTTCTGAAACACTTAAACTGGAACGACTACTCGGCTGCTATCTCTTCTGCTTTTGTCTTCACCATAGACAATCCCGCCGACGTAAACAAAGAAAAGTGACTGGCAATGGCCTAGATTTGGCTATAAATTGGTTCCAAAGATAGCTGTTATCCTTTTAGGGCCGATTTGACGAAAATTAGATAGTGCTTCCGCCGGATAGTGATTTTTCAACAGTTTTAATCATTTAGAGCTAACAGTAATTAATAACTTGGTTTTCAGGTTCCCATCGCGCTATTTCGAAGATGACGGTCAGGCAAGATGATATGATCTTGTTATAAGCACCAAAGAAGATTGTAAAAAATAATGTAAGAATGACTGAACTCAAGGAAGATGATAATGTTATGATGTCCCAGGCTGAGGACAGCGACGTAACTTCAAGCTTTACGGAAAACAATAATAGCGCTTCGTCCCAAAATAAACAAGCCCAGTCAGTTAATAAACAGAAAGAAGTTGAAGATGAACTCCAAGAAAAAGGCATTCAAAACGAAGAATGTGATGGCGGTGAGAATTAAAACAAATGTCCTATGATAGAAGTAAAAATCCTATCCTCTACTAACTCGTACATTTTGATCAGGGTTGCAGATGGACTGCCTAATTGGGCGTGGGGGGGGGATTGCATATTCACATGTTCATGATTATATATCGTAGGAACAATAGCGTAGCAAAGAAATCAGACGGTTATAAAGGCGGCTTTCGAACCATTCAGTGCAAAATGTCGCGCGACCGATTTTTTGCTATCGCTTTCTTTTGAAATGTGTTTGTAATTGTAATTGTAAAAAATTGTAAAATACATAGGCAACTCGAAAACTGAATTGCGTATTTACAAGCTAATCTAAAATGAAAACACATTGACAAACACTACAAACAATCTATATATAACTATTTAAAAATCTATATTTAAAAGTTCCCGTTAATTATTAAGATACCGATAAAAATTCGCCAAGTCTAACGACCATAGTTTATGGCGGAGGCCATGATAAAAGTATCTCTGAAACGGTTTGTTCTCCAATTGGGGATTTTAAAATGCCTATTTTGTCTTAATTGATGAGCTCCTTCATGAATCGGGGGTAAAAGTTTATTCAGCTTGTTATGTTTATCATTCACAGTTTGGTAAAAAAAATCCCTACATTATTTTTTCACCGTATGACATAATGGTGGGAATATTCGCTTCCAATAGGGCTTCATGATACGTTATTCCTGGGTTGATAATTGATAATGCCCGTTTTTGTAAACGTTCCAATTCATTTAGGATGTACTTCGGTAAAGCATAGAAGAATACTGGGATTGCATAAGTCAAAACAGATCGAATGCATGTAATGTAAAAGAGCACGAGATCTTTTCGAGATAGTTTAGCTCTTTTCAATTGCACAAGAAAGTATAGCCGTTTCGCTGCTTTCTTTATAACATTATTTATGTGAACATTCCACGATAGGTCGCTAGTTATTGTGACCCCCAGCACTTTTGCACTTCTAACGACTTCTAATTCTTTTCCGTATACATAAATCGGTTGAAAGTCTTCTTGGTTTTTGCAAAGCATATCCGTAATTCTTTGCATTTTTCATCATTTAATTTCAGTTTATTATTTGAAGACCATTGGGCGACGTTATCAGCTATGTTTTGTGAATAACTCGGAGACCCCCTTTCTACGATTTCTGAAGATGTTGTATCATTCAACGTACTTCCACAAAAGGGCATTATATCGTTGTTAAGAACTAAATCATTTATTAGCAGTAAAAATAACCACGGTCCCAACTTTGTTCCTTGTGGGACTCCGGAAGGAGCTGAGCCCCATTCAGAAAGACAGTTATCATATTTGTACAAAGTTTTATTAAACATTCTTTTGCTCGCTTTCCAACATAACCATTAAAGGTCAGAGTGTCGTGCTTACCGGGATACCATATTACTACGAAATCGGATGTACAGGAATCAAACCTTTTTGCGTTGCTTCCTGGCAGCCACCATTTCCCGTGTTGACAAAAGACATTTTCGATAAATACTTTCAACGAATCGTAATTATTGCACCATTTTGCTCTTATTCCATCATAGACAATATTCTTAGATGATATATGCACTTTTAATTGATTTAAATCAAAATTATCATTGAAATTATTGACAATTTTGTCAGAAGAGTCTTCAACACGACCGTCCGCCATGTTAAGTCAATATATCCTCAAAATCAAATGGTAATTCAAAATCATCTAATGCATGGGATTATAGTTCCACTTGATTGTTTGTATTCAAAAGAAAAGCGATCGCAAAAAGTCCATCGTTCGACATTTTCATGCAAAAAATCCGCATTAAGCTTCTGGTTAGACGGCCCTAACCATCAAGGTCCCACAACTATTGGCCTACGCAATTGCGTTCGCTATTGGCAAAGGCGATACCAAATAAATGAGTAAAATAATAAATATCCCGTTGGAACCATTCAGGCTATTCAATAATTTAAATTTCTACCCTATAACCCTTCGACACATTTTTAATTTTCTTATCACCTGATACAATGTAGCTCGTGCACAAGGAAAAACTATATAATTATAAGGCACATTTCGCCAAAGTCTCCTATGCATGTGTTGAAAATATGTATTCTTTTGAGGTGCATGTCTCCGCTAAATAAATCCCTGGCGTGAACGGATTTTAGGCCTTGTTCGGGATACAAAGCTATAGATGTTACAGCCATTTTCTTCCGACTATTGTAAAATTTCACGTCTTCCAGAAATCATTCATGCCTGCGTAATGCGAGCGGATAAATTGTTGCGGGAGACCCGCAATGAAATTTCGTTGGGCACGGCCCGGTTTTTTATCTTTCATCTTTCTTTTTCATGTAAACTGAATCTTAATGTTGCATATTTATAGGTATTGAGAAAAAGAAAGAGGCAAGTGGAAGCATAAATGTCTGTGAAGAAAGAAAACAATTTTGGGACGAAATAAGAAAGGACGTTGAACGTGGTGAAAACAAAAAAGATCTTTGGAAGATGACAATTCTGTGCCGTGCTTTTCAGTTTAGTCCAGTAGATCAAGTAGATGCGCTAGAAATTGTAAAGTATTTGGTTGAAAATGGCGCTGATGTAAATGGATATGCTATTGACAGAAGGACTGCTTTTGATTGGAACGCTACTGACGGATGGACAGTGCTGCACGTTGCAGTTACTAAATGTACGTTAGAAATCGTGAATTATCTAGTTGAAAGCGGCGCTGATGTAAATGGGAAGGCTACTGACGGATGGACAGTGCTGCACGTTGCAGTTACTGAAAGTACGTTAGAAATGGTGAAATATCTAGTTGAAAACGGCGCAGATGTAAATGAAAAGGATATTATCGGGAAGACAGTGCTGCACTATGCTGTTACTAGAGATGCGTCAGAAATGGTAAAGTGTCTTGTTGAAAATGGCGCTGATGTAAATGGAAAGGCTACTGACGGATGGACAGTGCTGCACGCTGCTGTTTCTAAAGATGCGCTAGAAATTGTAAAGTATCTTGTTGAAAATGGCGCTGATGTAAATGGAAATGCTACTGACGGATGGACAGTGCTGCACGCTGCTGTTTTTAAAGATGCGCTAGAAATTGTAAAGTATCTTGTTGAAAATGGCGCTGATGTAAATGGCAATGCTACTGACGGATGGACAGTGCTGCACGCTGCCGTTTTTAAAGATGCGCTAGAAATTGTAAAGTATCTTGTTGAAAATGGCGCTGATGTAAATGGAAATGCTACTGACGGATGGACAGTGCTGCATGTTGCAGTTACTGAAAGTACGTTAGAAATGGTGAAATATCTTGTGGGATATGGCGCTGATGTAAATGGAAAGAATAATAACAAATATACAGTCCTAGACACTGCTGTTAAAAAGGGGTGGCTAGAGATGGTAAAATACCTTGTTGAGAATGGTGCTGATGTAAATGGTAAGGGTCTTGAAAGTAAAATTAACGCTTCTACACTTGGTACTGATATCCTAAAGATAGCTGTTGTGAACAATTCAGCTGTTTTGGTCAACCTTTTGTTGAAAAAGAACGTTACTGTGCGGAGAGCTCAAACATTTCTTGTTAAAGGCAGACAGATGAGTCTTCTTGAATGGAGTGTTCGCTTTGGTCATGATGAGATTGCAACTATCCTCAGGCGCTCCGTTAAACATCGTGAGAAAATTGAAATTTTGAAAACAAAGAATTGCAATAAGTTAGACAAGGTAATAGTTGAAAACATTGAAATGAGCTTATGTAGTAATTAACTTTTGTGTATATAAGAAGTTTACGATTTTCATCGCGTCAGCTCGGCTATGCGCTTTTCCAGTGGCGTAGCCAGCCCGACAATTTAGTCATGCTATGCTAATATTTTGGTGTTCATTGACTGTGAAAACAATGAGTTTCTAAAGAAATGAATAATGATAATAACATAAAATTTGCATAGCATGACTAAATCGTCAGGCTGGCTACGCCACTGCTTCCGCAACAATATTTCCCAGGGTGGGCAAACAGGGAAACATATGAGGAAACATTGCGAAACATAAATGTTTCCGCAACAATGTTTCCTAGTTTGCCCAGGGCTTTAGAAGTTGAGAATATACTTTTTAAGCCGTGAATGTGTTCTTGCTTTTTTCTTCTCACTGTGGAATATTTATCGTGTTTTTTTTTCAAAGATTGGCATTCCGATGCAGGCTTTTGTCGCCGACAAGCAATTCAGAATTGGCGATGGTGGATATTCAAGTGTCTATGTTGGTCTCATGGAGGATGGGACTGAAGTTGCTGTTAAGAAAATGCTGGTACAAAAGTGTGATAAAATAGCTGAAAACGAAAGGGAAATTATGGATCTTATTAAAACAAGCGACTCACCATTTATAGTGAGTTATCGACATTTTCACCGTGACGATACCTTCATATATCTTATTCTTGATCTTTGCGAAGAAACCTTAATGGAACTTGTTCATGCATCCAGTATTGAACATCTACAAGAGCGTGGTCCACGAATGATTAAGGAAATTCTTTCAGGACTTGAATTTCTTCATGGTAAAAGAATATTGCACAGAGATCTAAAACCATCAAACGTCCTGGCTGATATCGAGGGTCGCGTGAAATTGGCAGATTTTGGATTAAGCCGCGTTCTAAAAGACGATGAAACTACAGTTGAAACAGATGCTAAAGGCACTCACGGATGGATGCCAACAGAAGTAATTGAAGCAATAGACAAAGAAGAAAAAGGTACGTTCAAAAAGAAATCGGATGTTCAGGTAGCGGGCATGATTGCTTTCTTCATCTTAACAAAAGGTGAACACCCTTTTGGATCTAGGTTTGAACAAATGAAAAATATTTTGGAAGGAAACCCTGTGAATTTGAAGAAACTTGGTGATCGTAAAGCTCGAAATTTTGTGTCGTGGCTGATTCGTCACAAGATTGATAAGAGACCATACGCTGAGGAGCACTGTGTGACTCTTTCATTGAAAAAGATTGATACAGAACTATTTTACGGAGAGAAAAGCATTGTTATGAAAAATTATCCCAATATTTTCACAATATAAGCGACGAGTGCGTAAGGAGAAGAATTATCTGAATTTCACAACATGGTATTCTTTCCTGTTGAACTGAGTAAATCAACATAATCATATTTACTTTTGCATCCATTTTTTGTGTGCATGTGTGCTATATTTTAGCTCTACTCAGGAGAGGATCATCTAGTAATCTAGACAAACTTGTACAAAGAACAATTAGTTAACCTGATAATCATTGTATAAATTGTAAATGTTGGTGAACTGCTCATGTGAATAAACGGACTATAATTTTCGGCAATAGTTTGTGCAGTTGTAGTGTAATTTGGGCCATTTTTACCGCCCTAATCGGTTCCTAGCACATGCCTAGTCAGTTCATACTCGTGCCCTGGTCCTTCCGTATACTGCGTGCGGCGTTATCAGGGGAGGATACGAAGATTTTGGTACAAGGATGAAATATGAAGATGACTGGGAGATTGCATGGGATGTATTTGTCGGTGTTTTTTGATGCAAGGAATATTTTAAAGGATTGCGTGTTTACCATCATGCCTTGCGTGGTCAAATCAACTTCACATTTCACGCCTAAAAATCTAGATTTCCGTTTATAATCCATGCGAAATTTGAAATTTATTCGCTATTTTACCCTTCGAATGAAAATGCAAGACAGTTAGTGGATCACTTTTAAGGCAAATGTTACCAATAATAATTGCAAAGCATGACGGTTGATTACAATTCTTCAATGATTCTTGTTCATTAACGGCGCAAAACAATCGTGTCTGTGTTTTAACAAACTAGTAGTTCGTTTAGGGCAAATATGTGAGTGAAACTTCTGGTAACTTGTTCCATTTGAATGTATAGCAGCATAGTCTACAGATATATCTTCATAGTCTACTGCGTCCTTTGTAATGACACTTACCAGTTTTTATGACATTTTAATATTGTAATCTCTATATAGATAATTAAAATTATGAATTATAACTAGTTTCTGATATTTAAAGAGAATTTTAGGAAAACCAGCACATTCAATCCTGGCTTTAGCCCCCCCCCACACACATATTTTTTGCGGCTAAAATATTTGAAGTAAAAGTCAGCTTTTTAATTAGCGCTAAAGAGTTACTTAGAGAAAATTGAACTTCTACTGGGAGTTCTAATTTGGGCTTAGCTCCACTCTCTGACACGCTCCGCGGGCCCTTTTTATTTGTTCGCTTGCAACTTGAACAATTTTCGTCGGGAAAACTAAAAGTCCAAATACACGTAGCGCCGAGATGGGGTGATTCCCAGAGCTAAACTTATTTTCTGAGTTCTGCATTAGTTCATTTACCTAATTTATATTTTTCACACATACATATGTAGGGTAGTTTCAGAGATTTGGATCAGTAACTGAGGTTGCATAATGGTGAGTTTGAGTGCGTTTGCATTCCGTAGACGGTCGGAAGCTTCTCTATGCTATGCTATATTTTGGTGTTCATCGACTGTGAAACAATGAATTTTTATAGAAATGAATAATGATAATAACATAAAATTTGCATAGCATGACTAAATCGTCAGGCTGGCTACGCCACTGAAGCTTCTTTCAAATGCAATTGGGTCTTGTCGTTGAAATAGCATCCTATTCACCAACACTCACACTCATGCTTAGCTTGCACGTGCACAAGGAATGGGGTAAGTTTTGGTCAGGGGCGTCGGAGACAAGCTGGCACAGCTTGAGTACGACGCGTGCAGGCCGAGTACGACCCGCATTCCGGCGCTCTCGTCGGTACACCTGACCACTCGAGACTGAGCAAGAATGGACTGAAAGGCGTTTACCAATTTTTATACCCTCTCAATATGCATAATTAGATACAGATGGTTACCCACATCGGTCATTTCGCTTGTTTTCACCTTGTTTAAGGTTTGCATATAATTATGAGCGTTAATAGTCCTATAAACGGCATTGAAAAATACATCAACACCGCCCAACAACAGCTTGGTATAAACCTTGCATGTGGTTTCCTATTTCGTCCTGCAACTCCATCTCAAGGATCATTGAAGACGAGAAAGCGACATACATCTCTCGGTGTAGCTGTGGTTAACGTAGTGTATCCAGTAAGGGCTGACAAAAATGACTCCAATTCTGTTTTTAACGCGTTATTTTGTTTGGAATATTTATGAGGCAATTAGAATTAAATAAGAGGGGTGGGACATAATACAATTCTTGATAATTGGAAATTGGTAATTCAAAGATGGAAGATTTGTAGGGCTTCTGCAGTGCCTCATACAGAAAATTTTCTGTATTTTTCAGTCTCTATCACACCCTATCACCATTTTTGAGGACAATTACTGACGAATCCATATCAGGAGAGTGAGGTATTTTGAGAAAATACCATTTATCACTGCACATTCTATTTTTATCACTTGTTATCACTGCACACTAAAATTAGGTATGGTAATAAGAGTAGACGACGAAGGTTAGGTTACACCAAATGGGAAGTTACGTAAAGGCGATGCGGAAAGCCCAAAGGTCTGCTGAGAGTTCCGGACATGGTCTCGAGTGAGTTGGCAAGAGCAAAACCCCAGAAATGCCTTTGGACGCAAGCTTGATTTTCTTCGTGGAAAAAACAAAGTAGGAGGGCCACCAGTAACGTCTAGGGTACTCGTCAGTGGAGCACTACCAAAGTACAAGACAAGTTACCGGATCGAAGGAACTTGAAAACGGGACCAACCAACATGTGAGGGGGAAAACATATGGTTGTTGAAGTACAAAGGAGTGGTACGAGAGTTCTTGAGCGAAAAGAGTCACACCTAGAGAGTGCAGCGACGGGTATGGTGTGAAATGCGGTAGAGGGTTTCCGGATCTATCCACCATAGGGTTGGAGTCGAGGGCCATGAGGCCACATGTATGACCCTGGCCTTCCGCGAACTGTTGTTGAATTGTTGCCCAAATGGCAGGCGTCAAAGTATGGTCATATTCTGATGATCGTCTGGAAAGAGCGTCGGCGGAGTTCGCTTTAGTCCGGACATACGTGAGGTTTAATATGGTTAAAAAAAAAATTAAAAAAATTAACTTTTTCATCGCTCGGATAAGACGGGGGCTTTTTCCACCTTGATTGTCCCAAGCGTTTATGACGACTTGATTACCTCCTTGACGATTGATCTCCTCCCGCCAAGGAAGCGGGCTATCCCAATCTCCAAGAAAATGAGAAATTTCCTGATGTAGCGCACCCTTTAATAGCTGAGGTTTTAAGGTGCGGAGGCCGCGGGAGATGGCTGCGTTCATCTCTCGAAGAAACGTGCTGCCAGCAAAGCGAGGGAAAACGAAATGCATTTACCAACGAGATGTTGGAGAGTTTTGACTGAAACGTACTTTGAGTGAAGTAATTTTTGTAGTAATCTCACACAAGCATACACACATGCACGACAGCGAAGCCTCACCCACAAAGAAACGAGAAATTTTAATCCAAGTGTATCCAACAGTGAAATATACGGCGAAATCCCGCCCAAATATATAAGATTGTTTAATCTCACGTCTACGCGACGAAGCATATCAAACGCTAAAATCTGAGTCAAGCATAAAGGCCCACACAGACCGGACGCGATTTGGCAAGGTGGCGCGAATTTTCAATTCGCGTCGCGTTGCCGCATCGCGTCCGGTCTGTGTCGACCTTAAAGGTATAGCGCGAAAAAGACTAACACGAAAAATGGACATGAAGAACGTGCATAAACCTCTAACTCGTCTTGTGGCTGCTCCTGTTGTTGATTTACTGGCATAGATGGAACGTCCTCATTCTGCCGATCTTGTTGTTTCGGTTGAAGTGGTGCTGCTTGTACAGGGTGTATCAAAAAAAGGTAATCCAACTTTGGTGCGCTATTGTACGTGAATTACTCATTCTATTAACGAATTTTTTTCACATTCCGAAAGGTTAGGCTTTTAACCATCGAATGACATGTTTTTGATAACAAATGGTGAAAAAATGAGCAAATAGGAGGCTGCTAAAAAGTGTTAGTCAAAATCGCATATTTTCACCTCTGAGAGTTGGGACTAAAACCATTGAAAATGAAATCTCTTTGGGATTTAAATGAAGAATTTTGCTTTTGAATAAGCGACCCGCATATTCATATTAAGTATGAATAAATCACATCAGGAGAACATTCCAAGCAATGCGGCATAAAAGTGATAAAACCAGTGTAAGCTGTGACATGTTCGTGATTAATTGCTCTTTTCTTTTGTTATGCACTGCTTTAATTAGGCTCAAAGGTGAAAATATGCGATTGCGACTAACATTTTTTATCAGCCTCGTATGTGCTCACTTTTTCACCATTTCGTATTAAAAACATGTCATCCGATAGTTAAAATCCTGATCTTTCCGAAAGTGAAAAAAATTCGTTCATAGACTGAGTAGTTCACGTACAATAGCGTGTTGAAGTTGGATTACCTTTTTTTTGATACACCCTGTATAGCAGGTGGCTTGCAGTAGTGGGGCTTTATTATTGGGAAGCACTGGGTATTGTATAAAAACTTTGGGATTTTCTGCCATTCGATGTGGGTCGTACAAAGGCTCGCGGTAACTTGATGAATCGCTCGAATTTAATTTTATATTCAGTTTGCTAGTTTGCAAAGATATCGTTGATTTGTATGGCTTCAAAATATGGGCACATCAGCCCTTAAATTTTGGATTGAATTCAAGATTCTCTTATTAACCTTTCAAGTAATCCATGGACTAGCTCCTGAGTATTTGCGTGATCTAATTCGAATCACAGAACCGCCAAATTTTTACCTGCGAGTAAATAATGAAGTACTCCTGGATGTACCGCCTCAGAAATCATTCAACTCAATTTGAGATATAGAGCCTTCAAATTTGCAGCACCAAAGTTATGGACTCGTCTTCCAAAATAGCACAGAAATTTAGATACAATTTGTA